GATGCTTAACTGTGGAGTTCACTCAGGACACTTGACCAAAAAGATAAGTGCACTTTGGTGATATAGGTGGCCAAATCAATTCATTTAAACCTTTCCGCAAACTGGGGTCTCACGTATTACATCTTCGATACTACCAAAAAGGATTAGAATTTAGACAAAAATGAGACTGTATTTACTCGATTTTACTTTGTCTTCTTACTCATTATGTGCCTCTTGTCTTGCTCCTTTTTCCAAATTTTTCTGCGAATTCTTCTTATTTCCTCTTCTTACTTCGTCTTATTACATCTATTATATTATACTGATGCATAAGAGCTCCCAACAACTTTTAATTGTTACTATGGTGTCAATTCAACAAGGTAGATGGACATATCTATTATGTTGGTGGTATTGTTTGAATTTTGAAAGCAAAAGCAAGTGACATGTTTTGTGCGTTGATGAATCATCTTCCAATGAGTTTATACGGACAAAGAGTGTCGTATAAGTTGCCTTTTGAAGGACAGGAGGAACGATACCAATATCCGATGTTGATGAAAATTTTAAAAAGATGTGTGCGGCTTTAGTCTGGACTAGAGCTATTGATACATTTGTTGAGCCTCGTATTAATAACACTGAGTCTGATGTTGTTGATATGGAAGTGTAATGTCCCAACCATCACCTCTCCTAGTAGACCCATGTCCATTCCCGACACATGGGCCCACGTCTATAAGTGGGTGTAAGCCCTACAATGCAGTTTTGTAAGATTGATAAACAAGTATTGAAAGCCTCTCAAACGTAGCATATCAACCATCAGAGTGGACGTGGAGCCCATTAAGATAGGTTGGCCCCTCCGAGAGTAGACATGGGATCCATTAAGAGAGGTGTGACCGTCGGGAAGTTACAGGAAGCAAGAGATGACTGTGGACAATTTGAAGAAGTAAGAGTGGAGAGAAATGTTGTAGGGTTTGTTGATATAGATGATGAGTGTGATGAATATGCGACTCCCTTGGGATCATAATGGGAATATGAAGGTAGTTCGAGAGAGAATTGTGTTAGACACATCAAAGGTAGTGGCGAGTTGAAGGAGTGACAAGTATCTCTTAGTTTAAAGGCATTCAAATCAGTTATGGTGGATTATGTGTTGAACTAAGGCATTCAAATCAGTTATGGTGGATTATGTGTTGAAGACATGAAGGAATGTGAAGTATGTGAGATAGGATAAGGACAAATCAGAATTGAGATGTGAGAAGGAAACAGAAGGAGAGGACACTAAAGGTGAGGAAAACCTAAAAGAAGAAGATGCCAAAGACAAAGCCTTCTTATCTTCAGATCAAAGATGTACAAAATAGTCAGTTTTTTTTTTTCCTTCTTTTTGTTGCACCTCTGACAAAACAGAACAACACTCTTACTGCAGCAACTAAAGCCTTTCCACCTTCTCTTGCCCGAAGTAACCAAAATAAATAAATAAAAGACCCCGAGAAAATATAAAGAAAAGAAAAGAGAAATGAAAAACTATCTTCCATCTGGACACCAAAACAAAATCGGATCACGAGTCGAGAGAGCTATGTCCTCGGTTGC